TAATTTGTATTTTATATATTATTTTATTCAATATTCGTAAAACACTGTATTCTATTATTTGAAATGTTAATATCAGATTGTCTTTGATTAACATTTAAATTTCTTGTTTCATAGTTTGATTGCTTTATTCAAAATAATAATATTTTTTTCAAAAAAATCTCAATTTTATTTTTCTTATCAAACGTTCGTTATTTTTTAAAAAATAAGATTATTTTTAGCTTTTGTTTCGTGTGTCGTTGACCACTACCGTTATGAGTATCGTCGCACCACCTAGTCATAGCCACCTTTTACCCTCGCTACTGATCGACCTCTACAATTATTATTATTTTTTTGTCATTGTGATCAACTTGCAATAGTGGAGGCAGTCATTACTACGGTGTTATCCATAGTGGATATATCATATTATATTTTACAAATAATCACATACTTATTTTTTTATGAAAGTATATTATGATAATTTTATTTATATCATATTTTAAATCAGTTTGCAACGATGCTTGAATCAACTTGAGTGTGTTGATAAAATCCACTCAATTCCATTTTTTTCTTCTTAAACATTGCAAAAGGAAAAATCAAAAGTATTAGAGTATAAAATTTATAAGTTTGTTTTGGGAGGGGTGCGCCGGGCCCTTGCAGTAGTGCAACGCAATGGCGACGCTCGAGGGCCCCAGTAGCAAGCTACCGTGAAGGACCCTCCCCCATAAGAAATTAATTTAATATCATAGTGAGCCAATGGCTCACGTATCAGATATTAAACTGATAAGAACAGATACTACACTTGATCTTAGCCAAAAGGCCGAGAAAGGTATGAATTATCTATAACCCGGTTCTACCTCTATATAGCTCCCACTCCACCGACTAGAGCTACAGTTTCCGATGTGGGACTAAAGAACACCGACGGACGAACCGACTTCACTGTGTATAATTAATTCCCTCGACCGAATTCGTCTGGATACTCTGATCGAAACTATATGAAATTTTTGAGAGAACCAAAGTCGTTGTTATCACGATTGCTGATGACAGCTCAATGATCTTGAATGTAAGCAGCCACTCGGACTCGCGTTTTCCATTACGTTACACTATAAAAGTTCGGCCCGTAATACCCTACAATAGAAATATGAAGACAGTGTGACAGCCCTTAATCTATAATAACCTTTCAAAAGTTTGATCAAGAAATCAATTCATTTGGTATAGGAAATTGGACTATTAGTTTGGGCCAAATGGATGAACAGCTTGGCCATATTAGCTAAAACATAAAAAATCTTACTTGGAGCTTAGTAACATGTGGTAAATATTAAAGAAAATGAGAAAGAAAAAGAGTACATCCATTAGCAAACATACGGGATGTCAAGTTTCAATATTTCATAATTGTCAACTTTCTCTTTAATGCCACGAGAATTTTCCCGGATTGATAAATCCAAACTCCATTCCTCACAATTTTTTAGCATAAACTTGCATAGGCACCATGAATTAGGATGGCAATTGCTTTATGACTATAGCAGCAATGAACAGTGTCAAGAAAACAGATTTTAGGACGCTCTCTGGCACCAATAAATATAACAAACACCTCGAGAGAGAGAGAGAGAGAGCGAGAGAAAAGGCCCGAGGAATTACAAGCATTTTAGATAACGACAAAGTTCCTAGTCTCCCTCATCCATTTGTTGTTGGCATACGAAGTATGAAAGAGGAGTTAGAAAATCTTTCCCATGGGTTTTAATTCCCTTGGCAAATGATCATAGTTTCCTGTATCTATGTTTGACTGGAACAATGGTCGCTTCCCAAAGTTTTGAACGACACCTGCTGCCAAGTGCTCCTTGTTGGGTGTCAGCATCACGTAGTTGGGATCCGCTCTTTGATAACTACATTTTATGAAAACATATAGGAAATCAATGGAAGTCAAATATGGATGAGGAGCTATGCTGTACTTGGTGAAATATTTTGACAAGGATATTGGTTGACATCAGACAAATGCCTAATTCCAAAAAATGACAAGGGTGATGACCTCGTAGAACTCTTAAATATGATGATTATGCTAATTAATAGTATACAAGGGAAGAACCTGGGTTCTCTTAGATCCTCGGTGCGGATTCCAAATCCGTAAGAAGTCGTTCCATTCCGACGATCATTAATAGCTAGGAGAAACAACAGAAAGGATTTTTTTTTTTGTCAGAATGATTAAAATTTAGCAAAATCAGCACATAAGATTACAAAAATAGAGTCTCACTGGATGCATCCAAAATATGAGGTCCCAGTCCAATTGCTTATCCTCCTAATTTAGTTTTGTTCAAAACTTCAAATAATATTAAAACACTTAATTTCATTAGTTATTTTGTACACATTTATAAAGGATTATCATCTAGGTATTCTTGCCTAGCTATTGCCTAAGTCTGTATGCTGCTGATCTAAAATAACTAGATGATTGCTTTTCACTTGTTGTGGTTGTTGAGTCCAACAAATTATTTTACATGACCGTTTTCATTAATTATTTTGTACACATTTATTAAGGATTCTCATCTAGGTATTTTTGCTTAGCTATTGGCGAAGTCGTAAGCTGCTGATCTAAAATAACTAGATGATTGCTTTTCACTCGTTATGGTTATTGAGTGTAACAAATTTATTTTACATGACTGTTTTAATACTTTTTTTGGATACCCATAAAAGAAATCAAGATCTTTGGATGTTTTGGTCCTATTTTTTATGTGCTTCCTACATTATTGTTCTTGTTGATGAAAATTTTCTCTCTCTCTTTCTTGTTGTTCAAATTAAAGCCGAATGCACTTTATTTGTTATCAAAAGCATAACTAGCATGTTTATCACACTAAAACTAGCAAATGCTGGCCCCTCGCATCAGTTGTTGGTTTGGTTTGGTTTGAAGTTTGAACCATGCCAGAAGAGAAAACCTCATGGTTCATAAGGAAAAACATTCCAGTCAGCGAAATTTACCTGTAATACTAAATGTAAAGGAAGGTCTCCACCAAGACTTAAATGCTAAAGCTACAGAAGAGCCAAAAGGACCCAATTTCCCCTGCATCATGGAAAAATTAACAGTGTAGAAATATACACAATGTTTCAGAAAAGCTTTGAATCACAATGTTTCACCTTCACTAAGAAGTTCTTATTGGCTTGCCAAGATGCGGCTAATTGGAATGAGGAGTTATCACCACTCCCCAAAGATTTATCTCCATCGATTCTTTACCAAAGAGAAAAAGAAACTCAATTAGGTATTTAACCAGCAGTCATTGTAAAAAGACGTTCTTTGTTAATCTAATTTACCTCGACATCAGCTCAAAGCCAAAGTCAATATAATTTGTAATGCCAGCTATTTGGCTTTCTTCAAATGGATTTTTCACCTGCTTGACAGCGCAAGGTTCAATTAATCGATCTCTCCAAACTATTACAGAAAACCATGGATATCTTGTATCCAATCCATAGAAAATCAAGGCATAACATGATTTTGAAGCAAATCAATGGTAGAAATTTAATTGCCAACAGAGTGGATGCAATATAATTTGGGAGATATCCCATCATATCTCTAATACCAAGGTTTAGTACTTGGCAACACCGCTGACTCAGGCTCATATATATTATGTTGGACACCAGATTACACATATATCTATTCAGACATAAATGCCACTTCAATTAGCAATATAGAATAGTAAAACTGCTGCAAGCAAAGCCAAACTATACGTACCCTTCTTTGCACCACAAAATGTTGATAGAAGGATGCAATTAGCTGCAAGAAAACAAATTAGAGAACATTACATGCGGAATAGATTGAGTGACAAAAATGCTTCCATGTCTGCTGAAATATACATCATCCAAGGGTAGATAATAATGGTAGAAACTTCTGATGAACAATTTGAGATCTCATAGAAAATTAGAAAGGTCAAATGAGTAAATTTACAACAACACAAGCTATCAACAAACCAAAAAAGTAGACTCAAGATTCATGTATTTTCTCACAGACTACAAGATGTTTGCAACTGATTGAGGAGCAAGGCTGGAAAACAGCAAAATCAGCATACCTGTGAGCTTCTAGCTAGCTCAAGGCTGAAATTGTATGAAGGACAAAGGGGGCTGCTGGAACCAACTCCATAACCAATCGAACAACTCCAGTTATTTAGATCCTTGAAGCACAACGGCTTTTTGCTCTCACCTATAAAAGTAAAAACCCAATAGTAAAACACGATAAAATGCTCCAACTCTTTTCTAATGCTAAATTCTTCAAATGAACACCAATATTTCATGCTTTATCTAAATGTAATATTGTCAAATATAGAGGTTATCAAATTATACCATTAATTTAATAGTCAACAGTAAACAGACAAGTTATCGGTTATGTGTCTGTTATCGGTTACGCATGATTGTTTGGCCTTGAATTAATAACTCTCTTGGTCTTATCATACGAGTTAGCAATGATTATATCATTGTGGTAGCATCACAAATTAGGCAAAATTTACAACTTGTACAATTTGTGGTAGCATCACAAATTACCAATATTTCTACTTCAAGCATGCTACCGAGTGCAATTCTAGTTTGCAGGAGATATCTTGCTAAATGCCAATTGACACAATGTAACACACCAAAAGTAAATCCTGTCTCTTTTAGTCAACGATGATATACAGCCACAAAATGTAAATACATATTTCTTTTAAGGATGAACAAATTCATATCTTAAAATCTCTCTAGATGGCATATAATATAAAATTCAACTCACAAAGTGGCTTGTACTGCACTCCAATACTTAATCTCCCTGCCCTGCCTACTAGCCATGCACTGACTGGAGTATCACTGGACACTACAACAACAAAACATCAGTAGTACTATGTATTTCAGAATAGCAGGTGGGAAAGAAGATTGAACTATAACCTTTATCAAAAGAAGACCAAAGTCAATGAGCCTAAGACCCAGAGGCAAAAGAAAACAAGACCAGAATATTTCAGCAATACATCAGATTCACAGTCCATTACAAAATAAGAATAAGACATATGACAAAAAGGAACATATTTCAAAGCAAGAACTCATTCTAATCACCAATAATAGAGTAACTTTATAAAGATAGACAGCCACAGATAACAGGACCTAGCCAATTATGTATGAAGTGGAAAAAATGGGTCATTACTACTAAGTTAAAAAATCGTGGCAGGGATTGAAGTATCAGTACATATTTTGTGAGTGAGTTGCTTGCAATGTTCAGAGATGCATATTCTACATAATACATGCAGGTACATGCTATTTCGCATGCGGTGATATTACCAGAAGCCTGGGTGAGGCAAGGAGGCAACATGAGGCACAAGCACCTGATGACAACCCAAGCGAGGTGCTTAGGCTTGGGCGCTGCCTAGGCGAGCACCTCGGTCTGGATGCCAGATCGCCCAGGTACTTGCCTGGGTCGATCCAGGCACATTAAGTTACATACATTAGATTGAGTCCAATCCAGACCGAATTAAATGGTTTTACTCAATTAATTAATTAGATTCCTTCCCGTTCCCCCTTCATCGAGTCAGTGCAGATCGAGCCAAATGGTTTGGCTTAGTCAATACAATTAATGAGATTGCCCATTGTACTCCCACCACACAGGGTGATGCATACAACGCCTCCTCCCTCCATGACCTCCTGTGACATTGCTGGACAACTGCAATCTCAAACAATTAATGGTGAGGGTATCATTACGCTCTGGCGAGCGTCTAATGCCTTGGGTGTTTTGGAATGTTTGTGCATTTTAGCGCCTAGCACCTTTGACAATACTGTTCGCATGAACATCAAAATGGACGACATATAGAATGCATGGCATGAAATTCAATACTTAAATCCTTGCACCTAGTAGATCATCATAATGTAACAAACAAGTTGCATTATCCAACATTGACTAAATTGTATCTCTCGGTAAGCTTCATCTAATTGATTCTATCAGAACACCTGTATCTTCATTGCACATGGTGTTTAACAATGTATTTGGAAGTAACTGCGTCCTTAATCTCTGTTGCCAGATCAATGAATAGTAAATTTTCTAGTAAAGCTTGCCATACATATTTGAATATCATCTTAACTCATATACAACCAGTCTGCAAAGCAAAGCAATGGTTTGAAAAAACAAAAAAAAAGCAAATTGGATAAATCAATGAAGTTGGTAACACTCTGAAGCTTTGTAATGATCAGGCAAAATATCAAAATAAGTATATAACTGATACTTACATGGAAATGGCATAAATGTGCTCCCAATGGACAGAATTTCTGATCCATATCTCAAGCCCATAACACCATAATCTTCTGGGAGCACTCTGTTTGGGTAAATATATATATAAGAGTTAAAAGATGTATGAAATAAATTATTTCTGGAATTACAGGTCTCGCCTTAGGCAAACATAATTCAAGAACATAACATTTTTATAAGAACAAGAAATAATTATATTGCTAGAAAGCAAAAGAATAAAACCAGAGAATCAGGAAAACAGACAATAACAACAACAAAAGAAAAGACAACCCAAGTTCCATTGCACTAATCAACCACAAAAAGTAAAATAAAAAGCATTTAGATAGTCCTATAGAAATTCATTAGTGAGATCTAATTAAATGATAACTTAAAAGGCCTACAGAAGCAAGAGTTTGATTGCATAAAAGTATCTGCATGATGCGAATTCACATATTTCAAAACAAAACTCTGATGATCACATTCTAATATCTGCAAGACAACATTGCGACTCAATGCAGAAAAATGGGGTTCACTGCCAGTGTTCTCTCCATAGATGAACTGATAATGATGGAAAGCTTACATCAATGGTATCTAAAAAAATCATCAAAATTATCATAAGACAGAAGTGTTCAACATCCTGAAATAATCCTCAAACATGATAAATGTAAGAATGAAACTTAATGTAAGAATCATGCAAAAATGTTAACGGAAGGAAATTTGCACAAGCACATTGTCCTAATATAAGAACAAATCAGTCAGAGTTAAAACCTAGAATTGTGGCAATTAATAATGACAAGAGATGGAAGGCACCTCTTTGATTTTAGCAATGGGAAGATTCCAAAAGCTCCAAGCCGGTACTTAGGATAGTAAGCACATGACCTCAAACGCAACATGCTAAGAAAATAGGACAGACATGGAAAATTAGTATGCCAGTTAAAGATGAAAATATCAACCATTTAGTAAAGCGTGATTTTATGATACATATTCTTACGGGTCATTGGTCGACACCATAATATCCATAAATGTGTTCGGATCATCTAAGTCCCTGTGATAGGAGGAAGAGATAGGTTGCAACTATTATTTCAAGGATCATCAGTGAAAACTAAAATTCATTTGTTATGAGAACATTAAAACAGAAATGAGAATGATTACAACCTTTGCCAACGAAACAATGCATTTCCTTCCATGGTCCTCCCAGATGTTTGGTCAAGTGGGCCAGACACCTTAAATGACACTTAAGGAAGCATCAAAACAAAGAAAAATGTGCATGCCACCAAATTTAAAGAGAAAGACAATTGAGCATTGATGTGGTTTTGGTAGAAATAAATTTATAGAATCAACATAAAGCAAGCAAGAAAACTAGAAGACTTCAAGAAGTCAAAAAAACTCCAGATAGATGCTTCATTTATTTATTTATTTACTTATTTATTTTTGAGAGACACGGAGAGGGGTTAACAGCCATAACAACAACTAAATGGAAGTGTCAGGAAAGGTCCACCAAAGATAGACCTTCACCGTAGACGAAGTACCCTTATAGGAACTACCTTATAAATAGTTTCCTAAAAAGATACTTGACACTTGGTATTACACTACAACAGCTTACCACTGAATATAGCCTCGTAAAATTTGATTTGCTGACAAAAGTGCTGATAGCTGTGGTATGACAGGCCCATGAGAAAGGATGAATGTCTTTAGAACTTGTAGCATGAGGCAGTGAGACAGAACAGATTACAAAAGTGTATTTTTCTAAATTTAAAATTAACAGAGGCAACATAGTTATTCCTTGTGCAAATAACTATTTATATTTCACTTCTTCAACTAGTAAGAATGAAGTAAATATAAAGAGACAATAAATGTTACGTAATTGAATTCGATTTCTACACGTTCTGAGCAGTGAGCACATTCTATTTAGACTTACCTGAACCACATAAAGCAATATAGGGAAAATCTCATATCAAAGAATATACAGAGGCCAGTGATTTGTTTGAAGGTACGCTCATTGAAGATACGACCAAACCAAAAAGTCTCCCAAATCTTAGTAAAAGAGTGAAAATTGAAGAGACTAGGAAACTCGCCGTCCGTATCAACAACTCTCAAAAATGGAAATGAATAACCTACAAGCAAGAGAAATTGATGAAAACGAAAGATTATGCTACAAAAATAACTACTATGGATACTGTTGCAATTAAATCCACGTTAGGGTCTTCAAGTGGTTTTAGCATAATTCTTGTATTAAGATGCCTTGGTTGTTCAAAGTAGTCCTCAAAAAGACAGCGCAAGGCAAGTTTGCCAAACAGCAAGTCATAAGCTGGAACAAGCATCCTGAGCACATCACAATGAATGGATTGTGTTACACAAAACATCAGCTCAAAATAAATAGTAGATTCTCTGTAACATACTGGAAAAGATCATTCAGGCCACATCCAGATGTACAAAGTAAAAAATAAAAATTTTCTTCTTGAAAGAGACATCTACAACATTCAGGTAGGGAATTAAAAGACTTACTCGACTGAAAAATATATTAGCATGAGTGATCCTATATTCCCTTTTCTAAACCATCTAATGAAGAAAACCAACTTGTCTCATGCCGCAACTTTGAAAAGGGCCTATACTGACACATTTGTTTATCCTAAGAAATAAGTGTATTATCTTTATTAGACAGGAGTCAAAACATAATAAAGAAACTTTTCAATCACACAACAATAACAAAAAGTCAACAAGCCATAATGTCCCAACTAGTGAGGCCAGGTACATGGACTCTTCCCGTAATTGGGCTAGCCCCTTGCTTCCAAACAATTGACTTGACTAAAAAGCTGAAAACATTTCCGAATCATTTGGTTGTGCATGTCGCCGTATTCTTCCTATCAGCTCTTCTCTAACAAATGATCCTTGTACAGGTTCAGTCCAGCAACCCCACAACCAGAAACAAAACCATTTACCATCAGACTAAATTGCAGTATTAAGTATTGCAACTCTTTAAATTAGTTCTCTTCCAAGTTTCATAACCTCAGAACATCAGTTTACTCCTTAGACGAAGAAAATTCCAACTTCATTTATTTGTTTCAATGTATTTCATCTTCTAATCCCTCTATTACAAAATATAATAGTTATGACATCTCATGATTTTAAATTGCATTTCAAAATTTTATTACCGTTGTAAAATTTTCTCCTACAGCAGTTGGCCGGTTTTTCGGTACCTTTAATCTTCATGGAGTTCTCTTGACATGTTTGAATCCTGCATTGGTTACAGTCGTGTTTTCCTGTTTGTATTTGTTCTGATTCATATAAATCATGCAGTTAACATGTATCCTGATCTTATTGGCTATCTTTTTTTTGAATTTCACCATTACAAGAACTATACGCAATATACAGCAATCAACATATCAAAACCTCAATGTCTGGCATGGAAAAGATTGTGGACAAATTAAAAGAGTCGTGAATGTATCCAGCATCTATGTTGAAAAAGAATTGGCAGAAATAAGCTACAAGGAACCAAATGCGATAAGGTTCCTCCTAGACTCGAAATAATTAAATAGCTTGGTGAGCACATGTAGATATCGCATCTGTTCTCCGATAATTAATGATTCTAAGATACAGAAAATTCTCTCGATTGATGACGAGTAGTAAATGCAAAGGTGCAGAGGCTGGTAAAGCCACAAATGAGCCCAATCTAAGATCATTAATTCAGCATGAACCGAGGTGGTCCTTCACTCGAGCAGTGACTCAATCTAGGAGGAACCAGAACATTCATCGAAACTCCTCGTCTCACTCATGAAATCGTGTTTCTCGTTAACAAACGAATCACAAATTCTAGATCCCAGTACTCCAACCCTAAAAGATCTTTCGTAACAAGAGCAGATTTCTAGGAAAAGCAAAGGGACAACCTGGTGCGAGCAGCGAGGGGAGGGAAGTCGAAGATGGGAGGAACCAACACCATTGGAGGGGGTTCTTCCTTGGCGAACAGATTACCCATGTCTCTCTGGCTCTCGTTCTTTCACCCGCTTCCAAAGCAGCTGCTTCTTTCCATGGCGAAGCACATTATATACTCGCCCGCTTCCTTTGCTCAACTCACGACCGGTTCTAAAGAAGGGGAACAAATCGGTTCCTTCATTTCTACCTTCCCCTTTTTATATTTATACTATTTTCGCATTTAAATATCTTATTGCAAAGTAAATTTGAGTTAATTGATGTTCTACAATTGTATTAATCTTGCATCAACAATGGGTAACGGTTCTTGATTCAGACCCCCCCGATCATTGATTGTATCGATCGGACCGAGTCAAAAGTGGTCGAATTGGAGGACCGGTTTGGCTTAATTAGACCGACCCTACCTACGGTTGGAGGTGGAGTCACTAACCCACAACATTAGACGAGTCGCTTGAAATGGTTGCAATCGGCTCGGTATTGAGTCAAAATTGACACCATTTTGGCTTTAATTTATTTATTCAGGTCAATTTATTTATTTTATGATATGGATTTAATTTTTAATAAAAATATTATTAATAAATATATTATATTTTGATTTTCTTTTGAGAATTCAAGTTTCCAGATTCCTCATATCAAATAATCTTTCTTTCTTTTGGTATTTAATTTTGTTTATTATCTATATGATTATTTCTCCTTTTTTTTCTTTCTCGTAACCATTGATTAGCTAATAAGTAAGAGATCCATGTTTTAGTGGGTTCTCTTCATTAATGAATGAAAAGCGTCTTATATGTGATTTAATAATATTTTAATTAATAATATTAGCTAAATTGATTGGTAAAAAGATGTTGATAGGTTATTGTAATATTTTGAGTTTGAATGATATTTTTATCACTTATGTTTTATTAAAAAAAAATAAATATAATTTAATAACCCTTCGATTGATGCATGGAAGTCACTTTTGATGATCATACTTTTCGATTAACATATAAACCAAGTACATAGAGAGTGTACAATTGTTCTAACTCACGAATCATAATCTTTTTTTGATCTTGAAGCATTATGCTTTAAGACGAAAGAAATTCTATCTGAATGCAATAGTCTTCGCTTGTGTATGTGAAGCACCTCTAGGATGAGCCGAACCTACGGTACTTGCGGTCGAGGATGTGTCATGCTTATGGCTAAGCAAAGATATCAACTAATTCTTTGATATATCGATCAATCATATAATATATTGATTAATTCTTGAACTTGAAATATGATCCTCATGCTCGATCCTTAGGTTCACCATCTAATTTTATAGCTCGACATCTAATCTTTTGGCTCGACAATTGATCATTCGATGATAATTTATTTATGCCTTTAGTCGAAAACATAAAATCTGAGTAACATATAAAACATGCATATAGAGAGTGCAAATTTGTTCGATCTAAGAATCATAATCTTTTTTTGATTTTGAAATTTTATGTTAAAGATCAAGGAAATTCTATCTCAATGCAATAGCTTATGTTCATGAAGCACCTCTAGGATGAGTTGAGCCTATAATACATTGATCAATTCTTGAACTTGAAATATGATCCTTAAGCTCGATCTTTGGGCTCAACATCTAATCTTATAGCTTGACATGCAATCCTTTGGCTCGACAATTCATCCTTTGATGATGATTCATATCCTTAATCGAAAACATATAATATGAGTAGCATATAAAACAAGTATATAGAGCATACACATTTGTTCAATCCAAGAATCATAATATTTTCTTGATCTTGAAGCTTTATTCTTTAAGATCAAGGAAATTCTATCTTAATGCAATATCCTTCACTTGTGTACGTGAAGTACCTTTAGGATGACTTGAGCCTATGGTGCTCGCGGACGAGCAAGAATATATCGTGCTTGTGGTTGAGCAAAAATGTCAACTAATTCTTCGATATATTGATTAATTTTTAACATATCAATTAATCCTATAATACATTGATCAGTTCTTGAACTTGAAATATGATCCTTAAGCTCGATCTTTGAGCTCAACGTCTAATCTTATAGCTTGACATATAATCCTTTGGCTCGACAATTGATCCTTCGATGATGATTCATATCCTTAATCGAAAACATCTAATCTGGGTAGCATATAAAATAAGTATATAGAAAATGCATATTTGTTCAATCCAAGAATCATAATCTTTTCTTGGTCTTGAATCTTTATTCTTCAAGATCAAGGAAATTCTATCTTAATGCAATATCCTTCGCTTGTGTAGGTGAAGTACCTCTAGTGCTCGCAAAGGAGCAAGAATGTATCATGCTTGTGGTTGAGCAAAGATGCCAACTAATTCTTCGATACATCAATTAATTTTTCAACATACCGATTAATCCTATAATACATCGATCAATTTTTGAACTTGAAATATGATCCTCAAGCTTAATCCTTAGACTTAATATCTAATCTTATAGCTCCATATATAATCCTTTGGCTCGACAATTGTACTTTTCTACTTCGTGTAATTAAGTCTTTAGGAAAGATATTTCTCAAACGTGTGAAATCATACTTGCGGCATTGCAGTTGTTGATCTCTGGAGCATTTCTCGGAAAGCGATGGCACCTCTTTCTCTTCGTCCTGTTGTTCTTCATGACATCCGACTTCCTGCACCTCACTTCCATGCAATATAGATACCCTATATATGGAAGTTCACAGGCTTGTTGCAATTATCTCTTAGAAAACATCTGTAAAAAAGCTTGCGTTGAATGATTCGATAAAGCTAATGTGGGTTCAGAATGCTGAGAGATGGCTGCTATATAATTAATTATCTGGCAAATAGCTCCACAAAAGGTAATTGTGTTTCTTTGATCTGAGTCACACCAGGCAACAAGGAAACCCACATGGTAGATTGTGTTGACTCTTCCCATGCTCTTGGGGTTTATAAGCAAGCTTACGCTTTTATATCCCACGTCGCGGTTCTTCTGATATCATCATGCACAATTAGCGTTGAGAGCTCAAAACCTTCCACGCATTCCATGACAGACGAGTGAACTGTGTTGCAGGAAACAACAGCCTAAAAGCAATGAACGCAATTGAAGTTGCTCGGTGCCCGAGAAGACTTTCCAAGTTATATCATCTGCCAACTTCCTCCACCTTCTCTAACCAAAGCAGTAGACTAACTATAATGAAGGGGAGGAGAACTCAACCTTAGTGGGGTGAGTTTGTCTCGTATGGGAAGCGAACATGGCCCAATCGACGATCGTGAAGTTTCTTCTTCCCTAGTCGTTGAGAGAAGTTATTATTATTATTATTGAGGTTTATAAATTTTTTATTTTTTTATTTATTATTCGATCTGTATGTTTGTGATTATATTATAATTATACAAGAAGACACAACGATGAAGGTGATAATGAGACTCACAAAATCGACGATTGTGATACACGAAGATGTGTCGAGATACCGACAGAACTAATCTTGAAAATTCTTTCTTATCTTATCGGAAAGGATCTCTTGTGGTCCAACAACTGCAATTTTATTTTGTATGATTAAAATTGAGAAATCAATTTTCAAGCAAACTTCACTTCACCATAAAAGTCTGAAGGTAGATGTTTGACTTCTTCTTGAAAGCGATATTAAAGTGCTCATGTATTTGATATTTTTTTTTTGTTGATGTTTCTTACCTCTATCTTTTCTTGATAGTTTCAACTCTTACTACATGATACTAAAGTTTTTCATCGGTATGAGAAAAATCATGATCCACATGAGTCAACAACTTAGAGAGAAAAATTCATCATCGAAGTTTAGTTGAGTTGAAGCAAGAGTTAATTTTGACACAACATGGTCCCTCCTAATTGAGAGAGAGAGAGAGAGAGCTTCCTTGGAAAACGTGTAACTATTTGAGTTGACGCAATAGTTAATTTTGAGATAATTATATAAAATTATCAGCTGTTATTTGATCGTGAAAACGTGCACGAGCCATTCGACGTTGTAGTTATGATGTAAAGGCTTACATCGACATCAAAAAGTTCTTACGGTCATTCGAGATCGAATGTTCTCTTTTACTAGTATCAAGTCAACATCATACTCATTTGATCTGATATAAGATAAGATTTCTTCAATTATACGAGGAAATCCTTCTTCCTAATCTGTATAAATAGGAGAGGGAACATGTTAATGTATTCAAGTTACTTCAGAAAAACGAAGTTTCGCTCTTGCCTTTAGCTAGCGACCAACTTCGTTGTATAAATAGGAGAGGGAACATGTCAATGTATTCAAGCTACTTCACTTCTTCAATAATTGTTCTTATCTTCTATTATTTCTATCATGACCAACGTGTCTTATCTTCTATTATTTCTACATGACCAACGTGTCTTATCTTCTATTATTTTTATCATGACTAACGTATAGGATTAACAAGATGTAAGGTGGCAAAAATATTATAACTCTTAAAAAATATATGAGAAATAACATAAAAGTTCAGATTTCAAACTCATAAATAAGGATAAGTTAGTCTATATTATATTTTAAAATATTATTATTATTTATATATGATTATAATACTTTAATATAGGATTATAATATTTTTTGAATGTACAAAAAAAACATTATAACCCTATCAAAAGACATCATAACTCGATAGATTTCATGATTTTTTTTACTTTATTAGGGATATTTTAGAGATATAAAAATTAAGATATTAGTGAAAAAGATATAAAAATTCGCTCATCTTTTTTTTATGAACCCTTTATTATTTCTGTTAAGAATGAAATAAAAAAAATATTATCTATATGTTTGATACTTAGAAAAAATCTTAGTTGACATCCAACTCACGCAACCTTTCAGAGAACCTTTGTGGAACGCACCTGGCACCGCCTCAGTCTCCCTCACTGTCGCGGCTGATGCCGGTGAGTTACTTGCTGCGGAAGCTGTTCGGGGACGAAGGAATCAGAGAAAGAGGCTGATGATGGTCAAACGCGAAAAGATCCGCGTCCGTAAAGTGAACACCGAGTTGACCATAATATAGAATGATAAGAGACGATTCATTTAGTACACGATGACACACGTGGAGCCAATAGAATAATGGAATAAAGGTGTGCTTTCCCTGCAGAAGACAACGAAGCGTCGTCGGTTCATATGATCCATAGCCGTTTAAATGCCCAAGTAAATGCTTGCAAATGGAAATAGA